ATTTCGCTGCCGAGTACATTTATGTTCATGGAATGGATCAGAAGCAAAGAAGCAGATGATATCCATGAAAGTAAAGCACACTTGATGATGGAGGAGATAAGCCTCATCAGAAAAGAAGTGGAAATGCTACCTGGGATGGTAAGCAAGGTCCTTAGCCGATGTAGAATATTGGTTGACTAGCTGGCTTACCCGGCTCCGCCGTATCCGGACCAAACTTGGCACACGTACACTTCGGGCCCCGGCGGGTGTCACAGTCCACTTTTCGTTATCGATCGATGTCGATTTTACCGATTTTTATCGATTTTTTGGCAGAGTTCACCTTCAGGGCTAGGAGTTGGCACAGGGGGAAGTGAGCATGGGGATTCCGAATACAATATTAGTTTTCAGAATTATCGATTGCTTTTATTGATTTTATCGATTTTTTGGCGGAGTTCACCTACAGGGCTAGGAGTTGGCACAGGGGGGAAGTGAGCATGGGGATTCCGAATACAATATTAGTTTTCAGGATCGTCCATTACTTTTATCGATTTTATCGATCTTTTTGCAAAGTTTGACTTGCGGGGCTGGGAGTTTGCACAGAGGGTAATCGAGCATGCAGATTACGAATACAATATTAGTTTTCAAGATCGTCCATTACTTTTATCGATTTTATCGATTTTTTGAAAATTTGAGCTAGGGGGCTGGAATTTGGCACAGGGGTGTTCGAGCATGCTGATCACCCCCTTTGGGGATGATCAGCATGCGCGATTACCCCCCTGTGCCAACTCCCAGCCCCCTAGCTCAAATTTTCAAAAAATCGATAAAATCGATAAAAGTAATCGATAATCCTGAAAACCAATATTGTATTCGGAATCCCCATGCTCGATTACCCCCCTGTGCGAACTCCCAGCCCCGTAGCTCAAACTTTGCAAAAAAATCGATAAAATCGATAAAAGTAATCGATAATCCTGAAAACCAATATTGTATTCGGAATCCCCATGCTCGATTACCCCCCTGTGCCAACTCCCAGCCCCGTAGCTCAAACTTTGCAAAAAAATCGATAAAATCGATAAAAGTAATCGATAATCCTGAAAACCAATATTGTATTCGGAATCCCCATGCTCGATTACCCCCCTGTGCGAACTCCCAGCCCCGTAGCTCAAACTTTGCAAAAAAATCGATAAAATCGATAAAAGTAATCGATAATCCTGAAAACCAATATTGTATTCGGAATCCCCATGCTCGATTACCCCCCTGTGCCAACTCCCAGCCCCGTAGGTGAACTCAGCAAAAAAATCGATAAAAATCGATAAAATCGATATCGATCGATGACGAAAAGTAGCCTATGACACCCGCCGGGGCCCGTAGTGTATGTGTGCCAAGTTTGGTCCGGATCGGTTCAGAAATGGAATTTTCTATTCGGAACATACGTACATACATACATACATACAGACAGACATACAGACAGACATACAGACAGACATACAAACAGACATTCAGCTTTATATATAAGATGGATTACCACTTAAAGAAAAGTTGGAGGCTAAGGTAGCCACAGTGTTAGGTAGGCTGGAGAACCTAACAGCCGAGTTAAACCAGATACTCTGTCCCAGAGCAACGGCAGTTGCAGTGAGGGAAGGCAGTGTGTTGAGAAGGTCGGATGACGGACCACTCGACAGTCATCGAGGTGTAGAAGATCAGTTGCTCAGCTATTTTCAAAGCATGACTTTTCCTGATCCTGGAGTCTTCGAGGGCTATGAGGATGAAGACTTTGACAGGTTCATTCGAAAGTTCAAAAGAAAGTATGGTACCATTACCCAGGATGAACAGTTGCTGATAGAGGTCCTGGGTGATGAACACTTGAAAAAAAGGGCAAGATCCTTATTTCTGAGTATACCCATGGGGGTAAGACAGCAAGGCTTTGACAGAGTAATGAGGGAGATGGCTTCACTACTGGCCTGTGACTCCACAGCAGCTAGGTTAAAAGCGCTGATAGCCTTAAGGAACATGCGCTTAAGGCCAGGCCAAGAGGTTGCGGACTTCTGTGTCGCCCTCGAGAACCTAGCAAGGAAGGCCAGTCCTTAATGTACCATTGAGGAAAGATCGATGGAGTACGCACATATTCTGCTGGAGAATCTGACGTCATGGCCGGAATACGTGCAGCTGGTGGGAATCCTACACCAAGTGGACCCAGCTGAGGCATATAACAGGATAAAAGAAGTCGCGATTGAAATCGAACAATCGCGGAGGCTTTGCAAATTCGAGAGGAGGAGTGAGCAGCAATCTCCGTCTTGGACGAAAGCAAGTAGAGATGAAGTATATATGTCAGCTATGAAGCAAAGTCGAAGTAGCTCAGCGGAGAGAAGCGAAAGGGAAGATGATATAAGAAAGCATGAGCCAACGAGTAACTCGAGTGCCTATGATGAGGATTAGAAAGAGAAAAGATGCTTCAATTGTGGTTACTTCGGACATGTGATTAGAGATTGCAAATATAGGAAGGCTTCGAATGGAGTGACATCAATGGTAAGTAGGAGCCGGAACATGGTCGTAAAGAGCTACCAATCTGACTCATATGGATTTGTTGGCAGAACAACATCGACTCAAGCGAGAATGTTGGTAAGAAAGGTCTCGACACTTCTAGGCACGGGTTCAGAAATAAGTATACTACCCGTGAGCGTGCTTATAGAGGCGGGGAACAATGGGTATGATGTCGAGTCACTTCAGACTTTCGACATTATGGAAGGAAGCATATACGATGCATCCAACCATGTGATGAGCTTTCTCGGAGGTGTAAAAGTAGAAGTAGAACTAGAAGGAGGATGCAAGAAGGAAGTGGCTTTTCATGTTTCGGATGATAGGAATGAGGAAGTACTCATTGGCACAAATGCATTGAAGAGTCTAGGGGTGGAAGTAGTGATACACAAGAAGCTTGAAGTCAAAGTAAAAGCAAAGGATAGGATGGTGCCACTACAGAAGAGAAACACCGCCTCAGTGAGAGCGAAGATCCAACAAGGTACCATAACTGTGAACGGATCTATCCCACAGAAGAACAGGTCTGTAACTGTCAACAAGAAAACTTTCATTGAGAGAAAAAGAGATGTCAAAGCAGACAAAGGAATCTGGCCAGAGGACGCTTGTGAGCGCAAGTGGAAGAAGTCGACATGTAGGATGGATAACAAGAAGCACAGCCTTTCCAGAAATGATCGAAAATTGTGCGGAGAGGCACAGAAAGGAGTCAAAGTTCAGAAGACAAGCAGTAAGAAAGAACAAAGTTCTGAGAAGGAACGTCCTGTTGCGTTTATTGCACCGAGATGTGCAACATCATTTGAGGAAGTTGAGCTGAAACAGTGTGGAGTACTGACCAAGGTGGCAGTATCATTCAGTCAACTCAAAGCAGCGTTGAAATACTCGAAGAACAGTCGAATGTGGATCATAGTTTGGCCCATGAACCCAAGAAGGGAGGATGAGGCTATCATTGAGACATTGCGGATATGCAAAAAGTACCTCGAAGAAGGAGGAAAGATTGTTTCCGTGTGGCCGCCACTGTCTTTCAAGAAGATTGGTGTGTGGAAAACGAAGTCAAAAGTGTGATCTTTTCAATCCAATCTTTTTGCCCATTCTCTCAGTACTGATTCAACCAGTGGTTGAATCAGTACTGAGAGAATGGGCAAACCCAAATCAGTTGTTCACGTTGGATCCCTCAAGGACAGAAGATAGGGAACGTGAACAAAGAAGTAGATGGACACCAAAATTCTTTTCAGGTATGCGACACGCATTTCAGGGATGGATATGCGCGAAACCTCCACAAAGACATCCGCAGGAGAGTTCCCGGTGCAAAACTCAGCAAGTTGCAGCAGCCGCCGAGGACGTCGGCTCCCCGGAGGGGAGGGATGTCAGAGGGCGCGGATTACCGACCTACCGATCTTCAGTGGCAGGAAGAAAAGCCCGCGCTGACCCCTTCGGCAGGGTATAAATACCGGGAGTCAGGGGGAGTCTCGGAGTGCGCTGAGGAAGCGCTAGCGGGAGCTAACTCCGTCGAAGAGAGGCGGATCTCCCCCTTAGATAGAGAGTTCATCCAGTCAGCCTGCCGAAGTGGTCAAAGAGGGTAAAGCCCGCAGTTTCGTTGTTAAGCCTTGTTCAAGTTACCGTTCTTGTTTCTTGTTGTTTATTGCCGTTTTCTGAGATAAATTATTAGTCGTTCAATCCGTGTTGTCTATCGATCCGGTTGAAACCGTTATACCACTAGACACCCCCGGTTACAATATTGTTATTCGAAGCAGATTCGAAAAAATATAAGCGCAGTGTTATTTTCCTTTTCCTGAAATCTAAAAAAAGTGCGTGCATGACCACATATTTGCAAAACGAGTGATATATGATCGTGCGAAACATTACCAAATGTAATGATGTGCACAAGTTATTGAAATTAGTTTGCTTGAAACAAAACTGCCTATAATGCTTGTTTTGAATTCTCGTCGCAATAAACCTGATATGATAGCTAAGATTAAGGTTTCAAAACTTACTTTTCCGATAAAAGAGATAATCATGTTGATCATTTCAGCAATGATAATATTTCTTTATAAGCTTTTTTTTTGAACTAAACTTGAGAGTGCAAATTACAACATAGTAACAGATGTGAATAAAAAAACACTTTTTCAATCATGAAAATTTTCTCATACTTACAATGAAAAATCAATTTGGACAAACCTACTAGGAACAAATAACTGAAATACATTGAAAAGAGCTTGCGAACTAGTTTATAATGAAAAAAGATCTGAAAACGGATTTTTTATGGAAATTTTAAAATCTACTGTTATCCAAATTGCAACCAACTGAAGAAGCATGAACGAAATGGAGAGTTTTCCAATGGCTGCAACGCATTCCTAGGCTAATTAACATTTACTCCTGCTAATTCAATAGATTTCTGTCTTCAATTGCGGAGCCGCTGCGGCTTGAAACCCCCCTCCCCCATTCCAATTTTTTAAACTGGAACCCCTCCCCTTCCTGCCTCCTCGGGCTGCACCTGGGAAACGTCACTGAATCATCTCTCGATCGCATGGGCATGGTCTACAGGTGAGCAAACGTAGCCGTCAGTATTCATCCGGTACACAAAGCGCTCAGTGCTTGAAACCAAAGCCGATTCAATTGAGAAATGCTGGCATCGTTGGCCATTCTCCTACTAACTGCTACCGTTGTCAACTCTCAGACTAACTCTAGTCACCATATAGAGAAGCGACAAGCAAAGTATCTTTGCGGCATGGATCCTTACAAATTTCTTTCAGACGTCCGTAAGTTGCAATTTTTTAATTTTTACGGACTCTTCTGACATCATTTCTACATTTAGCGAATTTTTTCAGCTTGCAATGTTTACACTTTTTGCCCTAATGGTGGAGTAAAGCTCTTCATTGGTTGCACAAACAACCTTCAGTGCCAAATTCACCATGCAGAGTCTGTATGTATAGGTATGAAACCGTTTTGTTTATTTGCAATTTTTTCTTTTGAACGTCTTGTATGAGCTACGTTGAACTGACAAACAAGATTTTATTTACATTAAGACTCAACGTAAATCGCAGTGTAAATAGGATTAATAGTATTTTCTTCCTGTTGCGCAAGGATAGAAATTCAGCGATGTTCACTAAAGATTCTTTCGGATTCCAAATTGTTGTTTCATTTTTTACAAAATTTTTGATTTTTTGACTCTGAGGGGCGCAAACCATAATCATTACAAAATTCTTGGTAAGCGTCAAAAGTTGTTCTCTAGATCGAGAAACGTTATTTTTTCTGAAAATAAACAAAACAATAAAACGCAAACTTACCTCTTAGGTCTCTTCGAATCATCCTGTAAAGTGCTCATTTTGACTTTTTTTAATTCCAACCATACCAAGAAAGGCAACTTCATCTACGAAAATTTGGATTGCTCCATATTTTTGCGTCCACAAAACTTCAAAGTTGTGGCATTTTTCCAACATAGAATTATAAAGCAAAAAATTATGACTTCAGTTGCTTTGATGCCCTAATTCTTCAATCTTTATCGTTGTTTTATTGACTCACAGGCTTTTGTGATACGATACTCCAAGAAGCTTTACCTAAAAAGATATTTTTGCTTTCAGATTTTACTCTTACTTGTTTTTTTATCGTGTAATTTCTTAAAAACTTCGTGCCAACATATTAATTGTAAATATTTTTGCTACTGCGTTCAATAAACTGGTTTTACTACGGCTTTTGCAACAAAAGCACTTATTCATAGTACGAGAATCCATGTTTGATCAGCGAGCTCATTGTACGTTTCCGTTTCCGAGCTATACATTCGTGGCTTCATGTGCAAATGCTAAACAAAGCAAATTATCCATTTTCGGTCCATTTATTGCTGAAAATAAATTAGTGGAGTTCCCAAAAATCGATATTTTTGAAATATAATTTCAGACAACTGCTGCTGCGCATTGCCACGGATAATGCCATCCACACCGTATCCTCCTTGGATGTTCGACAGTTCGACTACGCTAGGAAATTATTTTTTGACTATTTCTGTTGTTTTCATCTTGGCCTTACTGAAGCTGTAAATTTTCTCTGTATATCTGTAAATAAACATGTAACTTGCGAATCAGATTTTCCAATCAAGGAAATAACGAAAAAGAAACGTATGAATTTTAGGTTATCATAGTTTTTCTGCTCAAATCTGAATTATCATAGTTTTTCTGATATTTTATTTATGGTCATTCCACTTGTATTATACAGCTCTTGGGAAAGAATTAGTAAAAATTACGTATCCTTCAACCGAGTTTCCAAACAAATAGAATATTGGCCGTATGTTCTAGTTCTCTATTAGAAAAGACTTGAGATACTTTGATTATTCGCAAAATTCTGCCTCAAATTTAAATATTGTTTACCTAATGTTTTTCAAAAAACCGTGGCCGCGTTTGTTGTTGAGGTTTGCTGGAACAGGTTCCCATTATTGTGCAAAATAGAGACAGTCACTCGTTCAGCGACAATTTCTTCATAAACTGTAAGTGATACTCATGAAAATGGGCAAGAGTTATAAACAGATTATACACTAAAGTACTATTATGGTATCCGGTTTTCTAACTGTTGCAGGAAGAAAAAGCTAGCAATCTTTTATTGAATGTAATATCAGTATGAGTTAGAAAACGTGAAGGCAAAAAATACATAATAAAGCTATTCCTAGGGACCTCCCTGACGCGAACCATCACGAGGCATACAAACCTCCATTCTTCCCCCTTCCACTTCTCAAGAACGTATTTGCGAAGTTTTTGAAAGTGCTTTGCAAGAGTGTGATTGCATGACTTGCTTTAGTAGAAAAGCTTACTTTTATTTAATAAAAAATTTATTAGCTCTATGGAAATTTTTTAATGGCCGCTTGCATCTCATCTTCTCCAAAGTTTTACCGTTAGAAGGTAGCCGAAAAATTGAGAACGTGAATCAGTTCTATTTATTTATATCTTCTTGAGAAGTATAGTGTATATAAAGGGCATTCGAAAAATCTTGATGGCGCGACCGCGCGCGACACGTACGCAGCCGCCGGCAACCGCATTTTGTTGGTTTCATCTCTACTCGAATAGTTCTTCTGCTTTTATATGACAGTATTTAGACATTGGAAGTGACTGATCTGAGTGTTTCATGCTATTGAGGGCGCAAAGACCGCAGTCAAATCCTTCGTCGCAGTTTTATAAACGACCTATACAGTAAAGCTTGTGCACACACAATAATTAATAATTATATGGAAACCTGTACAATTATGTGCAGTAACTGGATAGCATGGAGAAATTCAGCCATTAAAAAATAGAAACAATCCTTAATTTTTTAAACCACAGATGAAGTGGTTCAGTTATGTAATCAGAAACAAAAGCCCAAATTTACTATTGTCCAGAGGTTAAAGTGAGCCATAGACAAAATATAAATCAGCCTGACAGCTCCACCCAATTTCTTACCTGTTACTGTTTATTCTATACAATTGTATTCCCCCTACCGGTCTGAGTAATTCCATTCTCTCTGGAAAGGTTCGTCGGCACATAGATGGCTGAATCAGCAACCATGGTCGTTTCGTTTTGGAGAGGAAGAGAACGAAAGCGAGCAGAGCAGAGCAGACACCATGACAACTCATTTTGCCCTTCACACCTTCTTCCGACTGTTCTCCGATGCGGTTTACGGCGATTCTTCTCTGTACTGTTATTCCTACCCTTACCGGTGAAGACTTCGCCCCAGGACCTGTTGAACATCGCATCAACAAGCGGTATGATTATTATTCGGATCTTTGCAGTTCTGGTTACAGTTATTACAGTAGCTATGGCGGTAAGCTTTTCCCAAAATTGATTCTTTCCGCTTCTCACGAAATACCGTTCTTACAGTATGTCCCTGCAACGTAAACGTGATCGTCTGCTGTTGCCCAACCCAAACCCAGGGTACCCTCCACCCATCCGGGGCCACCCTACAGCCCCTGGTACCCACAATGGCACCAGTTCCTATAACGATGGGCTCTACAAAATTTAACATTATCGGTTCTGTGATTATTGTGCTTACGGTATTCCATGTGTCCGTTTGATTTGACCGTTACTTTGGCAAAGTGCCAAAAGAGCTGCCCCAAACTCCTGCCACGAACAAGTTTTTTACGTCCACTTTTTTCTTGAAATTTGATTATTCACGTGTTTCGTATTTTGAGCCCTAATTTGTATTTCTGCTTACAGAATGTACGTAGATTCTTTGTATAAATGTTTTAGTACTTTTTATCGAATACACAAAAAAAAGCACGTTAGAAGTTTCCTCCATCCTTTAATAGCTTTGAGTTCTAACCTTTTTTCAAACCGCTCGAAAGAGCTTTGGCGTCTTCTCAATTACCCAGAAACATAATTTGTATGATCTACCTGATCACTATAATTGGTATAATCTAGTTGATCCAAAAATCCTAGCGCCTCTGAAAAGTCAAACTAAAAATGCTATAATGATTTGATACAAATCGTAAGGTCACAATCTCGTTGTCAGAAAGAAGAACGAAACTGCAGCATGCAAAATTTCAAAACGTTTGGAATATTTGCTAAAAGTACAAAACCGAATGGAAAAGAAGAGTGCACGACTGTAACCGAAATGCCTACATCCTACCAAAGGTGAATTTGTGATTCACCTAGGTATGATTGGCCAGGTTGCGTGGATCCCCTTACAGCTTTTTCACGTCTCTAATCTCGTTTGATCTTTTGATCTATACTTTGTGATCGTTTAAGTGCTCGAGTAGAAAGCAGATACTTTAATCTGTGGAACAACCAGTTCTGCTTCAATAGATGCGACAACGGCTTTGATCAAAGATTATACCTAAAAAGTCATACCGTTTGGATGGCTCCCAAAGAAAAATTCACGGTTACGTTACTCCCTCTTTCACGGACAGCGAGAGGGTAAGGGATGAATTTAACCAAATGTATAAATGTTGCACGTCCATTATGATCTAAATGTGATTTTACTGACAGCCATCCACAGAGCTCAGTCCCTGCGATAAATGGGCTAGTACTATTTTCAACTCAGAGAATAGAGGACCTCGATACAAAGTAGCACTCAGGGCCCGGCAGGAGGTGGCATTTCACGATTTTGAAAACGATAACCCCTTTGAAGCCAAAATTTCTTACGACTTCCCTTTTGACCCTATTTTTGACCCCCGTAAGTCCCTGACAGTCCCGAAGTGCAAGCTGGTAGGCATGCAATGAACTCGTAACGGTTGTCTTGTCGCGATTCAATCGCGACGATCAAATCGCGTAAACTCTGTCGAGTAAGGGATCGTCCAGACCAAACACATTGTAAATATGGGTCTCGCTGATCCACAAAAATATTGGAGGCAATGAAGGAAAACACACAAAGAAAAAGCAAAAAATTACAAATGTACAAAAACGAATGCAAAAACTCGATGTCATGTAACATATTTGCATAAATGCACCATTCCACCTACCTGAGATAGTCCGAATGAGCCGCAAATTGGTGATCTAAGTGCGACGTGCTGTAGTCGAAAATTCTGACATGCATGTCATCTGAGCCGGTAACAATCCAATTTCTGCGTGAAATAAACTTGGCAGCGCGCACTGGCAAATCACATATCTGAGAATGCGCAAGATACTGGATTGAAACATAGTAAGCAACATAAGGCCCCAGCCAGACTTCAACTGAACAGCCCAGAACCGCTCAAAATCACCAAAGGCCCCTTTTCACGGCGCATATGTACAAGAACACCTGGCAACGCTTAACTATTTGCGGGATAGGAACTCATTCTTGGATGAGCTATCTTGAGCGAAGTCTGGCCGGGGCCTAACATACAAAAATATATGAAAATCCAAAAAAAACCTACTTTGAAAGATTTCAGAAGCAGCTGACTCTCGTAAATATATCTGAACGCTTCCACTATAAAGAGCTGCCAACAGCCACGTTTCCGTGGGATGAAGGTCCATCGACTCTACTCGACTTGATCTTGTCAAAACATTTCCTCAACTTTTGATGACAGCATGCCTGCAACAACCAGAATAAAGGAAAACGACGAAAAACGACCCAAAAGAGCGAAAGTACGGAGAAATCGACCATATTGCGAAAACTGAAGAAACACAATCACAAAAACAACTTTTAACATAGAACATCACGACCAAATATGATCTCTGCCCCTTCTGAGCCCTTGTAGGGCTTGTCGAAGAAGCAATCTATTTAAAAATTGTGAAAATTGCTTCAATCAGCGATCACTTATCAAGCAAAAAGTCAAATTCTCGCAGTTTCCGCGTCGTCCGTGCAAGGTGCACCGCTTGCGATTGGAGCGCGCTTTCGGAGGCCGATCATAACGCTGTGGACCCTATTTGGGGCTGTATCGAAGCGGTGCCTTGGTGGTTTTGGAAGCGGATTTGAACATATAGTAATACTCTCGACCTAGTCCACATTTATGTAAAGAAATCTGGGAAATTATGTGAAGGGAAGCAGGGAGCCACCCCAGGTGGCTCCCAGGTGGCGCGGGAGCCACCTAATTTCGAAAAACACTTACCATTTTTTAAATTCACATAAGTTTCTCATAATTCTTCATACTTTTTTTGTGCTTATGGTCCTCCAACTATACAGCAAATTTGGTGCCATATCGTTACTTGTGCATTGAAAACGAGCCTATTTTGTTATTTCCCTCTTACAAGAATTGTGATTTGAATTCCCGCCTGCGGGCAGGCTAGCGATCGGAGCACAGAATCTTCACATTGCTGGAATCTAAGTTCATAGGACAGTAGCATCAACAAGGAATGATGAATAAAGAATGATATGTGCATTGTTTATAGGTAAACAAAAGGGAAGTCGTATTTTGGGGTCCGGGGCTCCGCCCCGTACCCCAAAATACGACTTCCCCTTTGCTTTTTCGGGCCAAAAACGATATCCAGCTTGTGAAAGCGCCACCCCCGCCGGGCCCTGGTAGCACTTTGATAAATTCCAGTGGTTTCTCAAAGCTAATGTACATTCTATTGGAAGTGAGATATGCAGGCATGCAATGCTTGTGCTTTAGCTACTTTCTGAACAATGGAAAAGTCCCAGAAGGAAAGTAAAAATGCAGAAGAGAGATTTCTACAATTTATCTAATTTCTTTGACCTGTGAGTAAATTGTCCTTCGAGAAGAAAACGAACGAAAGTGTTTCTGCGGAGTTTGCTCAGACAAACGAATAAACTGACGGTTGACATCATATATTCCAAAGGTTCTGATAGTTTCATGTCAGTTTAGCCTCTATTATAAGTAGACGCTAAATAAATTATGTTTTTACGCTATCTAGATTACGCTCTTTATTTTAAATCTAATTTCTATTTGGCAAGTCCAAAGCCTGACAATTCTTTTGTCTTCAAAAAATTATTCTCTGAAGGGCAGAAATTGGAGTACCTTTCCCTAAGACATTGATCGGGACAAATATTTGATGAATGGGTAGTTTTCGGTTATCCGAGCCCATTTTTTAGAAAGCTCTCATATTACATGTTTTTAGTCTAAATGTAAGAATTATTTTTTTATAGATTTACAATGACTGCCTTCCTGCCACGTGTCACGAAAAAACTGGCAGGTTCTGGTTCATTTTGACATGTTCTTTTCCTCGAAATCATTTCCAATGAGATAAGAGAGAGTTTGTGATCATTTTATCAATTGTTTTACATAAGCACAAAACAACCATGAGCTTATTCTAGAACATCTTGCTTGCCTTTAGCAGTGAATCAAAAATATATTAGGTCGTTCCGAAAGTAACGTCGCTTTTTTCAAACGTACGCTACATCTCGTGAAAGAAAGATGATTCTGGTAGCATTTCATAAAGCATTTCATTCTCTTTCTAATGGTTTTAAACCCACTGCACAAAATTCGATGACCTCTCGAAATATCGAAATCTGCGACCCATGCTTTTTGAGATGGCCAAGTTTCACAATTTTTCTAAATCTTTATAACAACCCTTGGAAGGAGTCCAAGTAATGGATGGATAGAGCAAACTCTACAGGAAACAGCCAACTTTTTTCTACTTTCCAGAGCTCGTCACAATTTTTGTACAGATTTTTTGATGAAACCACCGGGTTTTAGCAGGCTTGTCTTTGACACAAATGCATCAAACACCAACAAGTCATCGGATTTTGAAACTTACAAAAATGGATTATGGTTTGACACAATTTCACAACCCAAACGAGCATTCGCCGCTTCAGATCAGCAACTTTCGGAAATTCCGGGTGCAGCCTGGGGTGTACTGGAAAACCGGAATTATGATGATTTTATTCCGGAAAACTTGATGAATCGAAAATAAAAACAACTGGTAAAAAGAAGAGAAAAAGCTGCTTCGAATGACATACGAGTCGATTGCCGGTTGTTGTTCTGTGAGTTAAGTTGACCAAGTATGGAATTTGATGGCACTGAATGATTGATTCCAGAAACTCTAAGAAACAAGCTAAGAAAAAGAAAAAAATACTCTGTGTCCTATAGGGTTTGCTCTATCTACCTGTCGCTTATACTTCTTCGGAGATTAAGTTCAAAACTTTAGGAAAGGAGCCGAACTTGACGATGGCAAAAAGCATGAGCTGCAAATTGTAATTTTTTAAGAGCTCATTGAATATTATGCAATGAAAGCAGAACCATAAAAAAAGAGGATGAAATGCTGCATCGAATGAACTAAGAACTTCTGAAAATATTGATTCCATGAAATGTGACGTTTATTTGAAAAAAGCGACATTACTTTTGAAACGACCTAATATTTCTCTTCAAACCCTTTTCGCCATGCGAATTTAGCCGAAAAGACTATAGGCTATAGCCTGAAGTACCTGGTTGCTTATTTCGCCTCTTAAATGATGGAATCCTAGCGTCCTAGAGCACTTCTTTTATCCTGAGCAAGTCTGATCTGTTCATGGATGATAGTATGTCGTTATTATTATGACAATGTTCACTTTGAAAGTGTTTTGAAGAAATGAGGTTGAAATAAATTAAAAACATCAAACTTACATCGCAAGGTAGGGTAAAAGAGACTCTTGGTAAGACCTATAAACATGCAAAAGACATGTAAAATTTTTGACGCGTTGCAGAAAGTTGACGCTCGTTTGTGAAGCTGGGACAAA